GATCTGTGTGGCATCCTCCGTCATATCAGCGAGATTTAACCCAGATATCAGCCAGATCAGGGGATTATGGAGAGGAGGCGCTCAGGGCGAAGGAGGAGCACTTGGTTGGAACTGTCAAGAGGAGAGAGAGGCGGTAAACAGAAACATTGTGGAGAAATGTGTTTATTTAAGAGATGTGTTGTAAGTTTTGAGATAACCGCTCAGAAACACATGGGAATATCAGGGGTTGGAGTAAAACTGTGGAATAAAAACGTCTGCAAACATCTACAGGTTTAAGAAAAAAAATCAAAGCAACAAACAGTGAAATCATATTCAATTAATAATAAGAAAAAAACACAAGAAAATGTTAATATTAAGAAAAAAAAAACATATTTTTGAAATGTATTGCTGCAGTCCATCTTAATTTTTTTTCTTTCATTTGTACATGTTTAAGAAAGGGGCAACATAAGACTGTTTTCTTCTTTCTGCTCTTTTTTCTACAGTACGTTTCAGCGTCTGCACAAACACTCCCCAAACACTCGCTGAAAACTCAATTTAGATGTTCTCAACATGGTCTTGGATATATTAGAGCTCCAGTTTACTATGTTTGCTATTCTTTTAAAGGACAAGTCAGATGGATTACCTTGTCAATATGTTTTGGCTGAAGTTCTCCATCCTCAGAACTTCTTGGTGAAGTCTCATTTACGTATCTTCTGATGGGACAACCTGAGTGGGGGCGTGGCCAGCTGAGGGTACTTCCATAGGCGTGGTCAAGCCTGATTGACCTGACAGGTTGATCAGACAGACAAGGGACACGTCACCGGATCCAAAAATATCTGCAACTTAACTTAATTTAAATAAAGCACTTTTCTGGACAGTCATGAATGCTTCACATAGCATCATACACGGTGGTGGTAAACTGCGATAACAATAGCCACAGTTGTCATTCTGCCACGGGGCAGACACACTAGTTGCCACTCTTCCAAAAGTCTGCCCCGCGCAGCTGTGGGTACTGTAGAATCTTATCACCACTGTGTAGGAGTGAATGAATAATGCTTTGAAACCGATATTACTAATCTGTGCCAACACCAACCATTCGCACACACTCATACTTGGCAATGTGAGTGAAATGTCTTGCCTAAAGACACAACAACAATTTGGTCACAGCTGCACAATAATGGCACCTAGTGTTTCCAGAGGACTCCCATCAATGTAATAACCAGGCCCTACCCTGCTTAGCTAACCTTATAGCTTCCATTGTTTACAAAGATTGCCACCAATAGTTAGCAATATGAACATCAAGTGCAGTCTTTCTTTTCTGCTTTTGAGGTGAAACAAGATGTTTGCCTCGAAGGGCAATCTGAAATACATATTAACATAATTTACTTTAACATAGACCAAGATCATCTTTAAACCATCTAACTGAGATGTCAGTGAAATTCCCCACTGTGACATGAATGAAGGTTCTTCTATGTTACCCTTTCAGCCACAAATGGACCAATATAACAGCATGCTTTTTTCATTGTGACCAGATTTGCATCGCCACAAATATACTTAAGTATACTTTGGCCACAATCTCCCACAGTATGGCATAAAACATCATAATATGGTTTGAACTTTTTCCATGGAATCATGTTATTCTGCTTTAACTTGTTTGCACCAAGAGCCAAAGCAATATCCTAGTTTGTGACTTCCTGTTACTCACATGGCAATACAAGGATTCTGGTTCTGAAGTCATTTTCCACCCCTGAAAGTGAAGTACTGTCATTAAAATCTGAAATGTTGTTAAATCATTTGCTTAGAATGACAATGTGGCATATTTAAAAAAAAAAAAACTACTGCCTTCCCTTTGTGTTGTCTCTCAAAGATCCTTTCTGAATCTCATTTGTTTTGAAACGTTCCGCCAAAGCAACACTTTTAATCACCAACAGTTGCTCACACATACGTTATAAACACTTATTACCACGACAACAAACCGACATAACTTTTCCCGGACACTTGGCACACTCAGTCCTGTACTACACACATATTGTTTTTCAAAGACGGTCTATGATCTCCCAACCACCTACTCTCCGTCTCCTCTCCCTCCCTCTCGCTCCCTCTCTCTGGCAGTGTCCTGTGGTCTGCTCGCTCTGATAAGGCTTTAATCCTGATTGCAGCCTAAAAGTAAAAAAAAAAAAAAAAAAAGCTTTGTTATGAACACTAAATAGACTGGCCCTTAGTGTGCGCTCTGGGACACTGCTGATAACACGGGGAGACGCAGAGAGAGGCCTGCGCACACGCCCGTCCCGCCCCTCTCTAAATCTGCCCTGTAATCACACATGTATGTAAATGTGAGTTATCATCGGCTGGATAGAAGCTCAGTGTATAGCATAAGTGTTGGCAGAATGGGCTGTAAATAGACTACTAATAGAGAAGGAAAGATTAGAACAGAGGAGGAGAGGACATATAGGCAAGATATGAAGGAGAGGAGAGATGAGAGGGGAATTGTAATGTCCCGATGGTTTGACCTATTTAAACACACCTGTAGCGTGCCATGACTTCTGTGTTGAGCTACTTTGGGGAGACTCGTTGCGTTTACATGAAGGCAGGAAATGGGGTAAATATATCGCAATTTAAAATGATGGATTAAAACACAGGTGAAACTCGCAAAATGTGAATATCCTACTAAATTTTCTGATTCTCAATTCAATTAAAATCAAATAGTCCAAACACAGGAAATGCAATAATCACAAACACATAGTACAAATTGGTGATAGTGAGCAGGATGACATACATGTTAATAAAAGTTCATAAATGTCCCAGATTATCAGTGTCCTTGGACCAGGTGACTCCAACCTTTTTCACCCAGAGAGCTACTTTCCCGGGGGACGATAAAGGCAGAGAGCTACTCCTTTAAGCGGTCCTGGGAAAACATTGGTGATATATTGATGTGAACAAACCTGATATTGGTACTGTCAATATTTATCATCACATATTTGTTTCTAGTGCACAAATAAATAATGATAATCAATATTATTATATGACTTGGACCGTACGCGCGCTCTGATTGGCTGATTACCGGTCTGATATTTTCCCATCTCGGACCGTTACCATGACAATTGGTCCACAGCGCGTATCACACAAAACCAAGTCGGACATGAACATACTTCACAAATATCTCAAAAGCATTGGTAAAGACACAGACGAGAGTCATATAATAAAACATTTATTAATCTTGCTTGCTCGGTCTGTACAGAGAAATATCAGACCTTGGCCTTTTTGCACAGACCTCGCCTCGGCTCGGTCTGTACATTAAGGCCGCGGTCTGACATTTCTCCATACAGACCTCGCGCTCGGTTAATAAGCCGTTAATACAATGTGAAATAGTAAGTATATTTTTTGAGTTGTTCATTTCTGAATCCCTTGGCGAGCTACCATGAAGGGGGTGGCGAGCTACTGGCGGCTCCCGAGCTACAGGTTGGAGTCCCTTGCCTTAGACCCTCTTGCGTCAGCAAGAATCACCCCAAATAATATAAGAAACATAGAGGAGGTCCATATTTACAGAGAGATCCAGGTGTCAGGACTCTATCTCAACTTACAATGTGAAGCTAATATATGGCAGACTCATTACACACACAGTGAAATATGTATCAAGCCTTTGTTTGTGGTGCATAATTGGCTCACAGCTGTAAAAAATCCCAAATAAAGCTTTTAAACTAGATTGTGACCCATAATCATCCAAATGATAACTTGGCTTATGTCCGTTTGCGTCGAATTAGTTTTTAAATGTATTTCTTTATTGTTTAGCTTGGTTGGGATAGTGCATGTTAATAAACACACCTCTCCGGAGTGTAGCCTTGGGCTGATATGCACCTGTTGTTCCAAAATAAAACTGAAAAATATAGTCATTCACTCAAGAATTATCTTTAGTGATAGGAGTCGCCCCAAGTCTGCATCCAATAATGCAAAAGATTCTGATGAAGATGAAGACAGCATGTTGTGATTTTCTGATTTTCTGGTTCTGATTTGTTCACAGCCTTTTACTTTTTAAAGGACTCTTTCTGTTGGGACAAACAACATGTGTTATTTATGAAACAAGAAAAGTTAGCTACTCCAGCTTTAAGTGCACTGAATAAGAAATGACCAAGTATAATATTAGACATGCATTGGCTTTAGTATTTACTCTGAGATGTTACATTGTTTTGGTCTGCTGCATTTAACACTTGGATTGAGCTAGAATGATGTTTTAGAAGAAATTAATTGCGTTCCTCAGTTCCATTTTGCCCCTGAGCTTTGCCCCTTTTGTCCCTTAGCCCCGCCCCTTTGACAATGTGTCAGTGGAATGTGCACACTGCTCCCTTGCAAAAATGCGATTCACCCGCGCAAGACGGAAGATCATGAAATGTCCCTAATTTTGCTGATTGCAGAAAATTTTTTTAAATTTTCGCCCACCCCCAACATTGACCATCACAAATATAGCTTCTAACAACGTTCTGTTTCTGCTATTTTGTCCTATTCGCTTAACAACAGACTTACTCTACACTTAAATATTTCCCTTTTCTTAATATTCAGTCATTGTTTTGTCCCTATATATCATAAAAAAGAAAGAAACAGATTTCAATGAGGTTTGAGGCAGGTGCAATTAAACAGAAGGAGTGGAGGGACATGTTTGTGCCAAAAGTTGCTGATATGTATGGAACTAGACACAACTCCGGGTCTGTTTTTGATGAGAGAACATTGTATTTTTGTTGTGTTATTGTGAAAGGTAGTTTACAGTTTGTGCTGCATTGAAGTGATAGTAATTCAAGATGTAGTCATACACAAAAAAACAATGACAGTAATAAAGAGAAATGCACTTGAAGCTAATTCTATGCTAGACACTATGGTATACAGTACTTAATTTGCGGATTTTTTAAAAAATGTTTTATTACTTCTCAAAAATAAATTACTTCTGTATTACTTCCACCCCCAACCCCCACAGTCTGAAGTGTATGATGTAAACAATGTTGAAAAAGTAAAGTGTTGCTGAACCTGTGGGGATGGATGTGGATCATGGAATAAACCGGTGCTTTGTCATTGAGTTGTCGCAGTGTTTCCATGGCCTCTAAATCATCCCAAACGGACGCCCACTCTCGTCGTTATCTCCAGAAGCAGCGGGACGGTCCTAGAGAGGGGTCAGCGTCCGGAGCCAGTGACCGCGGGACATCTGGACCGTGTCACTGCTCAGAGGTCATCAGAAGTCATGAGGTCCAGGTTCAGTGCACACGTCCCCAAAGGAGCAGAGGTCAGGGCTCCGGCAGCAGTGGTCAAAGGCACAGGAGACGACTTTGGGACTGACCGCTTTTGTTTGTCACAAGTCGCATGAAATAATGTAGGCGCATGATGTAATTAGATTATATTTTATGAGATAATATCTACACTGTGTCATATATTTTTAACATCTCAATAATTTATACTTTATAACAACAATAATTTATAACAACAATATTTTCACAGTTTATATTGAGATGTTTATATTTTAGGGCTAAAACAGTTGCATAGTAAGTTGCTTTAAACTATATAATTTCCAGGTATCAATGACATTTTATTTTCACAATCAGATAAATTGACTCTAAAGCGTATGATACATATAAATTTTTTAAGAAAAACACAAATAATTGCAAAACAATGCCCCAATTTGAAAACATTTTCATTGGTAGGCTATAGCATGGTATTTGTAAAGTTCCTCTTTCAAAGTCGGTCTTGTCAAACTCATGCTCGTTGGCCAAATTTGTCCTGCAAAGCAATTTCAAGTGGCCCCCCCATAATGATTTCCAATTATTATTAATAACTTGCAGCTTTGATGGTCATAGGCTTCCAAAGCATGTTGAACACAATCTATTTTTTAAGAAAAACAACCAATTTATTCTAAAAAACCCATCATCAAATAGTGAAATATAAAACAATGTATTTTAAATTTGGTCCAGTTTTGATTAAATCTAAACAATAAACATTTTATTTTCAGAAACATGTCAAATATCTTCATTATGTTCATTTTTCTTATCAGACCTTGACCAAAATGTGTTTGACACCCCTGCCTTTGAATGAGCCAAAATAACTGTTTCATTTGTCAATGACAACATTTTCAGAGTATTAAAAATAATGGTGACAGATTGTTCCTCGACTATAGGGTGGTTCAGAGAGTCATTGATTATGAAGCACACCATGGTCCAAATGCAACAGTCCTCACAGGTCTGGTTCTAAGGAAGTGAGCTGATGGAGGTGGCTAATTTTTTCTGCACACATGAAGCATTTGAGCCTCATTCACACAGGTTTTTTGTTTTCCCGCAGGCACCTTTTCCCTACACACTGGGCAACATGGGCTGGTGTGGGCAAATTGTGTTAATATAGTGTGTTAAAACCCGCGGCTTACGTGTGGGTCCGTTGAAGAAAGTTATAAAACCACATACAAGTTTCACAAAGAACAATACTTTACGTACAGAGAGCGTAGCAAGCGTGAAACAAGACTAAAGCTCTTACTGTCATACTTTAGGCTTTGGCACGTGCTGATTTTTCCTTTATAAAGTTGTCGTCCTTGTTCAAACATTGCTCCACGTGGATGATAAACACGTCGTAAACCATTCTATTGTGATTCCCTGGAATCTTGTGCACACTTCGCTCAGACTTTAAAAGACTTATTATGAAGGTCATAGGTTTGTTTTAATTCTTTTACTTGGTCTCCCCTGTGGTTAAAAGCCAAAACAGGTCCAAACAATACACCAACTTTTCCCGCTTTAGTCACAGGTCAACTCAGATCATAAAACATGGGTCTACAGTCATGCCTGTGACTGTCTCCAAGGGCACCAGAGTTTTTTCTTGTGGGAGCGGTACCCTCTTTCAATATGGCCCTCCTCGAGGTTTCTCACTTTTTTCCCTCGTTCCACTCTGCTTTGTTCAAGGACAGTGATGATCCGGGACATTTCTGGACATTTATTAAAATTGATGGACATTGTCATCCCGCTCTCAATGCACCAATGGCTCCTGTGTGTTTGTTAGTAATACATTTCTTGCTTTTGAACTCGATTTTCTGAACTGTTGTTGAGGAATCTTCAACTTCGTATACGTCCTCCGAAACAACTGCTGTTGTGATTTAGGACCATACAAAAATAAATTGAATTGTATTGGACCGTACCCTACAACTGATTGTAGTGTGATTAGGAAAAAATAATTACAAAATAATATAATGTAATCCAGACTAAATCCGGTCGTTACTTGACCAGTTCCTGCATCTCCACACATCGCATTGATCACTGGTATATTACATCGACATCACCAGAGCAGTAGCCTGGACCCTGGACACTGACCCCAGCTCTTCTCCTCTCTAACCTTCAGCCCTGAAAGCTCCAAAGACATGAACTTCATAAGTATTCAGTGGTCTGTGCCGCTGACATCAATCAGCCTCTGTGCATTATCACCGCTACTCTCCCCTCCTCCCCTTTCACACTCACCTCTCTGCATTCACTGGTCTCTTATCGCCCCAGACAACCATAAGAAAGATGTGCCTGTAGCCCAAAGCTGAGGCTGGCTGTTCGCAGGCCTCTCTGTCCATTAGAATACACCTTAATAAAGATGGCAAGGGCACGATAGGTCAACAACCTCAAAGAAGAATAGGATAATGTAGAAAAAATGAACCGGGCTATATGGTTGAAGGTTGTCTAATCTAATGTACAAATTCTATTACAAAAACATGGATCAGTTTGGCTCACAGAGGTGCATGACAACTACTACAATTCTAGGTTTGTGTAAGCTCTCAGTCGAGATTATTCAAAAAACACAAAGGTTTCTCACCCATCATCTGTACTTCAGTTAGCAAGAACGAAATGTCGGAGAACCTGCAACCTTCATATATATTCTGCTATATTCTCTAAAGCAGGGGTCTCCAACATATAACTCGCCACCTCGTACAAAGTAGTTTCTCAAAGGAGGATTGAGTTTCTTGATTATCCTTATTGTAAAAAACTTAGCTTTGTGCACTGTTATGGTGTGTGTTTTATGGGTTTAAGACTACACAGCAAAACAGATTACTAAAAACAAGTTAGAATTGTCAAAATATTGCAAAAACATTGCTTCCGTACCATTAAAGATTTGATTAAAAAAATACAATACAACTGGCAGACCACCACATAAGCAGACCGACCAAATATAGACCATAACTAATTATATCCAGGTTCATAACATCAACTTTTTGCCACTATACTGAACTTGCACTTGTCCCGAGGTCGTCTTGAGCTGGTATACATTCCACAGGACAAAATAGATTCAAGGACGTTCGACTCAGGCACCAGACAATCTTCTTTGAGCAGGTCACAGTCATAATGAGGCCAGTGTGGCACTTTTACCTCGGGGAACAAAATCAGCTCTATGCTCTGTAAACTCTGATTCTTGTCTTGTTTGTGCTTGTGGAACCCCAATTATCTCCGTCAGAGATAACAAACTAGCTTGTATCATTTACTGCAAGTGAAACCTATTATGTATTTCTGTTTATCAACTTAACATGATACAGATCAATACACACACAGTGACACATACCGAGCCTTAGTTTGCTATAATGTTGAAGATGTCTTGATCAAGGTTTCCCCTGTATATTTATATTCATATTAGGGCTCGGAAAATTGTTGTGTTAAGGCGGGTCTGTTGGACAGTTAGTGTCTAACAAAAAGGACTGTGGTGATGATCCAGGACACTTTAACATTCTACAACATGTATGGACATTATCAACATGTGTTCTATATTCTTTTTGTGTCTTAACTGTTGATTCTCTGATCTGTGCTGGTGATTTCAATAGTTTTGTTAAGTCCTCTGAGATGACTGCTGTGGTGATTTTGTTACGTTTAGTTTTCGAACCCCAAAGCAGAGGGAGGCCAAAGCAGTTTAACAAAAGTCTTTAATAACCAAAAATACAAAAATACTCAAAAACGGTTGGAGCTGTGGAGACAGGGAGCAGGCCGGCCAAAGAGCAGAGCAGAGACACGCGGACTGGATGAGCACAGGATCTGGAATTGCAGTAGGAAGGTGAGTAATCCAAAACTCAGGTAAGTAGTGACGACATGGCGTGGTAATACCGATGAGACGGAATTATCTGGCAGAGGAGTGACGAGCAGACCAGGTTTATATACTGAGCAGAGTGGAGTGAGTGGATGCAGGTGTGTCCTGTCAGCAGCCCAGCAGAGACCGGCCACGCCCCCTGTCTCACACATGCTCTGGAACAAGATGGGGAGAGATCAAAAACAAACATTTATTGCTATACAAGAATAAATTATATTGTATTTTATTGTTAACTATAATTGTGTCACTTTAATCACGTCAATATCAATTAACTCATAAATGAATAATAAGACGCTTTTAGTGTTCTTTAGTCCAACTTCTAATCTTTGAAAAACAAATCAAACCACAATATTTTACAATGTCTTAAATATTTCTAACATGATCCCTGTGACACTTTGGTCTGACTGCTCTTTTTCACTCTTCTGTCTGAAGAAGCTGATCTAAATGTGACAGACACCGAACATACATGTGAGAGGATGCAAAATATGATTTTAAAAGCCTGTTTAATGCATTCATTATTATTTCATGCATGCTTTTATGGAGGCCTGACACAACATGATACGTTTAAAACATTATTCACTCATTTAAAGTCTAAAATAAAAATGAAACTGATAAAAACTAATGCAATTAATTAACGCAATAATGTGTAGCCTATTTTTATTTAATTTTTTTGTATTGATCCCTGGCTCTAATTTATTTATTAAGGGAAAAAATAAGATTCATAAACCTTTTTATATAGATACAATGTTTTCACTTTTTAACGTGTTTGAACATTTCCTGTCTTTTGCACAACCTGAGTGAGTATTCATGCCAAAAGTGACATGTGAATTTCTGCATTGTGAGATCAATAAAGTCTATCTTATCTTATCTGATTGGATTTCTGTTTGCTTGGGTTTGATCTTCTCCAGGACCACAAATTGAATAGACCTGCACGACATACTAAAACACATCGTCTTCTCTGTCTATTTACCGATAGTTGAACGTGTAATTACAGCTCTTACGGTCCACACAGAGCTTTGAGTCAATGTTACAGCCGTGATCCCAGGAGGAGTAGATTAGAGGGACAGGATGAGGTGTAGCTGTCACAGTCGGCAGTTGTAGGTGTGATGTGCGCCCTGACTATGGCTAACAAGGGATTAGAGAACCCACATAATCCTGGATGGGCGGGCGGGCTCAGGACTCGCTCTGTTACTGCATTAACATTAAGCATTAATAGCGGCCTAGCATTAGCGGCAGAAGCTAATAGTGTCCCAGAATACATTACAGTGAGTATGTGATGCA